GTTACAAGCAGACTGAAAAGGACGAAATGCGCAATGATTGCCACTTAAAACACGTGAATTCAGGGCTCGGCTCTCCATATCTCTGTGCCAGTATCGCTTAATATTAAGGTCTTCCATGCAATTCCTACATCCTCTCATAAATTTTCTATCCTACAAGTCAGTTCCATTAAAAGCCTGGCAACCAAGTGTACGGTTGTATGTAGGAGACGGTGCGAGGTCACACTACCTGTTTGTTCTTGTGACTACACGCTTCTCTCATAGTAGAACCTGTCGGCATACTCGTGGGTATTCCCTCACTTAAACAAGTAGTAATGATGAACATACGAAATCTTCGATGTTCTTCGTATCTCTTGAGCAGAATGGACCTACTAGGCGGCTCTAGTACACAATATAAACCAATGGACGACTTGTTAGTTAGCGCTCAAGTCACCTCATGCTTAAGAAGGTTGCATGTAATGCCGATGTTTCTGAATCTCGAAGAAAGCAGTGATTGGATGTTTAAAAAGAGCGAGAAGAGGACGATGGACGCTTTCGTACTTTCTCACGTTGTATGGCCAATGTCGACACTTCTTTCCATCATCTCGATTTCTTATACCTTATTATCGTCTCTGTTTAAATAACTAGTTTTAAACAGCATACATTTACTTCCATAGAGAAACACAATACAATACAACACTGGCTGACGTCTCGACAGTATCGCCTTCTTCAGAGCCCCTTTTTCGTGACTTCCAATGAGGAAGTTTCGCATATGGTTGGCGACTGACTATAATCAGCTGTTCTAAACTTCATCATTGGAAGTCACGAAAAAGCGGCTCTGAAGAAGGCGATACTGCCAAAACGTCAGCCAGTGTTGTATTGTATTGTGTTTCTCTATGGAAGTAAATGTATGCTGTTTAAAAACCTCGCGATTGCTGAACAAGAAAGCGACGCATTCATATTCCAGTGCCGAGGTTAAGAGAAAGTCGATCCTGGTAACTACTTTTAACTGAGAATGTTAGAGATGTACATGAAGAACTACGCAGAAATACTCAGTGTTGAACAACGACGATGAAATTTACATTAGATTACCTCCCATGTTGATCCCTAGTCATGATATCAAGATGCTACAGAATGTGTTGTTTGCTCTTCAGGTGGTACAAAGTGACTATGAGTTCCTTATAAATAGAAGGCTCGTAACCCTTTTTACCGCACCGCACTACTGTGGAAAATTCGATAACGCTGCAGCGGTGATGAAAATCAACAAAGACCTGCTGTGCTTGTTCAAGGTAGGAGCGAACTACTTTTTAGCACATCCGAAGGCTCTCCGTTCTCTACTTGGTTTCATTAGAGTATTTTACGAAACGCTGAATTTCTAGGCTCTAATGTAGCTCACATAACTGCAGTGTATTAAGGTTGGGAATAAAGTCCTTCAAAATTTAACGTAAACTATCCAAAATTAACAGCGCTCTTCAATTCATGCTTGGGATAATATGATCACCACTCCAACGGTTTACCGCCTCATCATGGTTTGGAGGTGTTTCTGGGTATTAGGCTGCGATGTACAGCGGAGGAATTCTTACCCCTGGCAGGGTCTCTCAATGAGAAGGAGTTCGGCGTTTCTATTAGGAAGCCTAGCTAAGAGTAAAGCAATACCAGGACCCACCACCGTCCTGGTATCATAGTCGCATGGAGGCAAATCTCCTTCTTATTCACAAGGGCTGCAAATGCCTGTGGTGGTGAAGACCGGTTTTGTAACGGTTTTTGCTGGAGTGGTCGCTAAAGCACGTGTGGGTCTCATTTCCTCTGCAGTGGTATAATTAAACACACAGATGTATATTTCCCTAAAGATTTTGTCACTATCTGATAGCTCGTGGAGCAACGATATTGTGTTGGGCATTGGTCTTGAAGAGATCTATCAGTTCCAAATATTGATCGTAATGTGTTTTATGGTGTACCATTGCAACATACAAAAAATAGCATCACAAATGCCATTCATAGCCATTGAACGTTAGAGCAAAGCCTCTTCTACAACCCATTCATGTTCACAACAGACAAAGTTTTCTAGTTATCGACAAATTATTGCCCATTTTCATAAAAATTAAGAGAAATCAGCAAGTCCACAAAAGCTGAAAATTAGGCGTCGTCTGGTCGGCTGCAAACAAAAATTAGATGGCGAGAGTTAACGACCTCACGTCTCTTTCCGTGGAACAAATAATGTTATTAATCGGTGTCTAAACTAATAGAAAGTTTTCCCTGAGAATTGCTACACTTTCTATGCTACAATACATACATATCATTATCATAACATGTAAGATAGTCTAACGATCACTATTACAACATTATGCATGTGTATCAACATGATGAAGCGCATGTGGCGCAGTCCTGCCAGGGAGAAGCCCTGCAACACACACGTGGAATCGATTCCGCGCCCATGGCCCACCAAGCCATCCATCCTGAGCCATCCTAAGTGAAAAGACAGTGCACACTGCTGTGGCTCAGCACCAGATCTCTAGTATATTGGAGTACTCATCAGGTATCCTCTAATTCTGACTCCAAACAACAGAGGATGTGAGTGGGGCCAGCTTAAGTATTATAGTTTTAAACGGAGCGCTTTGCTTTGGCGAAACCGATACACTTCTGACCGATGTCGTAGATGATGCCAGGCAGGTCCGAAACCTCCAGAAATGTGATGGAAAAAAGCCAGAGCACACTGAAATCGACAATGCAATTAATGAACTTAGGACGATAAAGTCAGAGTCAGAATTAATTCGAAAGAAATCAGCTGTGAATGCTTTACAGTATCAACGACGCATTTCTCATTGAGACATTGACGAACATTTTATACAAACAGCACTTTAAACACTTTGTTGTACAGATAGAAGTGTTGGAAAAGGAGAAGTAAGGATTGGTATTTTGCCACTGGTCTGGACTGCTTGAAAACGACACCTTCTTCTACTCTGTGAGGTCGAACCACTACAGCGCTCTTGGATCGAAGTTAAGGGAATATCATGGCGATTGAAGCTATTTTAATTTCAAGTTACTGGTAATTATCGTAAAGGTCATCTGTCACAAAAATATGCCATCAACATTAACAAAATCTGCCATTTTTAAGCCTGGCCTAGTTCAAAGCGTTATACTGTGGGGTCGTCGCTAAGTGCAAGAAACTGTTCTCAACCACCGAGTCGTATGGTCGCAGTGCATCTGAAGTCCCAGAACACACAAAGATGCGATTCTGGTACATAGAAGGAGATCATCTTAAACGGACGAATAATTTTTGTGTCCCACAGAAGCGGTACACGTTATTCCATTTTTGAACAATTTTCCTAACACATGGACTAAAATCTTTTCTTTTGTCTCTACGTGTTAATGGGTTTCATTCGATGGAAAACTGCGAACTTTCAAACTGACACTTGTTTGACCGGATTCCACCTTTTTCACTGAAGTTTTCTGCTCTGATGAAGAGAACAGTGTAAAAGATGAGAACACTTCGCCTGGCCACGTCACGATTTTCGCAATTCCTCATCGCCCTTTCATCTCGAGAAGTGATGACAAATACGAAAACATTCCTTAGTGCCAATCAAAACTTAAGCGCACGTATCTCACCCCGCAGCAAATCTTTTATCACAATCAACACCAGTAACTTCTGCTGCTTTTCGCCAAAACGTGCCAGCAATGTTGTACTGTAAAACTGAAATTCTACGCTTCTGCAATTCAAGAAAATTTCAGAACGGCTTTAGCGATGAACGCCTTCACTTAATCTGCTCAAAAACTGATGAGTGACAAGTCGGAGAGCACAACTCCACTTCTTTCTCCGTCTATGGTGCTCGTAGTGCTGCCTTTTTAGTGATCAAGCTTGTGGTGTCCTTTCTATGCACAACGCGCAGTTCCACAAATTATCCTACCGCTGAAGAGTGCGTGAGTTCGAGTGTGGTTTATCTGATCACCTTTAAAGCATACAGGGTTGAACATATTGGCCAAACGGGCAGATACCTGTGCGTTCGTATGAAGGAACACTTAGCAGGTAAATTTAAGGTTAAACCAAATACATCGCAAGGAAAGCACAAGATGCAGGGAGATAACAGAGAAGGTTATGAAGAAAAGGTCACTACACTCCCACAGAAACCCAGAACATCAGCGCCTACAGATCTTGAAGCGTTGTAGACAAATTTCAGAAATCCAAAAATGAACTGCAATGAGTGCCCTGTGATCACACGCGATCTATCAACATTCCACACGCACATTTCTGAGCTGAGCCACGCACATTCTTCACCGATTTAAGACCCTGTGTGGCTGTTCTCCTCCAAATCACTAGTAGGCTTGCAAGACCAAAATGGTAAACAGCATTCTATACAGTGCCCATTCTTGCTATATGGTAGGATATTGTTCAAAGTGCAAGAACAACGATATTGAGATATCTACAAAACTCAGGATGTAGGTCAGTTTCTGAAGAAAGCTTTTACTATTCGAATGAAAATTTATATGTTGAGTTTCATTTAGTGAGATTATGGAAGTGCTTTTTTGAGCAGATTTCATGTCATCTCGACCTCTCTAGAATCCGAGGTAGGCAAAACTGCCGAAACGTCTGGCATTGCGGATGAATAAATGTTTTAATAACAACCTCGAGTTTGTTCATGAAAAAAGCAATGAATTTTCTGATCCGTTTCGAGGTTAACAGAAAGACTGTCCTGGGATTTGCTCTTCATTCCAATTCTTTATGTTCACAGATAGCAGATAACGTTTTTTTTTACTGGGAGAAACATTACAGTTTTAAACGGAGCGCTTTGCTTTGGCGAAACCGATACGCTTCTGACCGATGTCGTAGATGTTGCAGTAGGTGCGGATAAATGGGTCACCGAAAATCCAGGCAGGTCCGAAACCTCCAGAAGTGTGTTGGAAAAAAGCCAGAGCACACTGAAATCGACAAAGCAATTAATGAACTTAGGACGGTG